ACAAATAACAGACTCACTGAGTGAGAAATTAGGGAAATAATTCCTTTCACAATGGCATCCAAAAAATGAAGTATCTGGGAATCAATCTAACAAAAGAAGCAAAAGACCTTTATACTGAAAACTACAGCACTCTGAAAAAAGAGATCAAAGAGGGTATAAGAAAATGGAAAGATATCCCCTGCTTCTGGGTAGGAAGAATCAACATAGTGAAAATGGCCATACTACCAAAACTGCTATACAGATTCAATGCAATTCCAATTGAAATTCCAACACTATACTTCACAGAACTCGAAGGAAGAATCCAAAAATTCATTTGGAACCATAAGAGACCTAGAATAGCAAAAGCCTTCCTAGGCAACAGACACATGACAGCGGGTATAACAATTCCCAATCTGAAACTATACTACAAAGTCACTGTGATAAAAACAGCATGGTACTGGCAAAGAAACAGACCTGAGGATCAGTGGAACAGACTGGAAGACACAAAAACTCCAGATGTACTCAGCTACCTCATCTTTGACAAAGGAGCTGACCATCCTCAGTGGAGGAAAGATAGTCTCTTTAATAAATGGTGTTGGAAAAACTGGATCTCAACCTGCCGAAGATTAAAACTAGACCTTTATCTTTCACCATGCACTAAATTAAAAGAAAAATGGATTAAAGATCTAAATATTAAAAGAGAAACACTGGACTTGCTGGAAGATAAATTAGGCAGAACTCTAGCAGAAAGAATCAACAACTGTGATCTCATCTTATTAAAAAGCTTCTGCACTGCAAAAGAAACCATCAACAGAATTAAGACACAACCTACAAGGTGGGAAAAAATTTTTACCAGCTGCTACTCAGACAAAGGACTCTTATCTAGAATATATAAAGAACTCAAAACAATCAGCACCCCCAAATAAAAAGACCCAATTCAAAAATGGGCATTTGAAATGAACAGATGTTTTTCAAAGAAGTAAAAGCAGCAAGTAAATATATGAAAAAATGTTCCACATCACTGGTCATTCGAGAGATGCAGATGAAAACAACACTGAGATTTCACCTCACGCCACAAAGAATGGCTGCTATCATGAAATCATACAATAACAAATGTTGGTGGGGTTGTGGGGAGAATGGAACCCTTCTCCATTGTTGGTGGGAGTGCAGACTGGTGCAACCACTATGGAAAGCATTTGACGCAGCCATCCCTCTGCTGGGTATCTTTCCAAAAGAATTAAAAGAAACATACCACAGTGATATATGCGCACCCATGTTTATAGCAGCACAGTAATAGCTAAAACTTGGAAATAGCCCATTGCCCATCTGTTGGAAACTGGATAAAGATGTGGTTTTTCTATAAAATGGAATACTACTCAGCCATAAAGAAGGAGAAAGTAGAGTCATCCATATGAAAATGGATACATATTGAGGATATACTCTTAAGTGAAATAAATAAGTCACACATGTGTAAATATGGAATAGTCTCTCTGGTGTGAAAAACTATAATAGTACATAAGATCCTAAGGGGATAATTAATAGTATGAAATAGGAAGAAAAGGGCTAAAGGTGTAGGGAAAGTGGGAAGGGTAGGGAAAGGGAACAAGGGAAAAGAAAAAATATATGAGAAAATGATAAAATGGAAATAAAGTGTTTGTGAATGGGGAGGCGGTGAAGGGAAGGCAGGGACAAGGGGAAAAAATGAGAACCAAGACCTGTCATGTGAAGGTACAGGATCCCAGTAATGAATGTAACAGTACTGTATACCTAGATTGTACCAATAAACTCAATTAAAAAAAAAAATGAAGGCAGAAGCAGGTAGGAGCTAAACTGAGCAGAGCCTTATAGCCATGTCTTGATTTTATTCCAAATTCCACATAAAGCCTCTGCAAAGTTTCACATAGGGGAACGTTATGATCTCATTTAAAGTCTCACTGCTGGGGGTGAATGAACTCTATGAAACCCAAGTGCAAAAGGAAAGATCAGGGGCTGAGTATTTCACTTAGTGGTTCTGCCCCCTGCCTCACAACCACAAGTTCCCGAGTTTGATACCTGGTACCAAAAAAAAAAAAAAAAAAAAAAAAAAAAAAAAAAAAAAAAGGAAAGATCAGTAAGGCAGCAATATAAGCAATCAAGCAACTTACAAATGAGAAGGTGCAAGTTTCTGTGGAGATAAGAGCTGTAGGCAGATCAGAGATGTATGGCAGAAGACTTGCTGAGGAACTGAATGCTGGTCATGAGCAAAGGGGAAAAACCAGGAAGCTCCCTGGTTTTTAGCTTGAGAAAATTTTAATGACTTTTGCAGAGATGTGGAAGAGCCACAATAGAAAATTTTTTTGTTGGTACTGGGCTCTAACTCGGGTTCTTGTGCTTGCGAGGCAGGCAGCAGAGCCACTGAGCTAAATTCCCTGGACCGGGAATAGAAATGTTTATGAGGAGGGGAGCCAAAGTATCTTAAGCTGGCTTGGGATGTGGCTCAGTGGCACAGAGACTGCCTGGCAAGCATGAGGTCCTGAGTTCGATCCCTAATACCAAAATATCTTAAACTGAGATATATATGAAACATCCATTTGGAGATATCATGTAGGCAGTTAGATGTAGGATTGCAGAGCTGTGGAATTAAGACAGACCAGGGCTATTTGAGATCCATCATCAGATAACCAGTATTTAGTATTTAAAAGTAATAAAAAAGAAGGCATTCGGGAGGCTCGAGCTCATATCCTTTAATAGTTAAAACAGGTTCACAAGAAAAGACAAAGTCATCAAAAGAAAATGGAGTGAAAACTGGTTATATAAATGTTGAGATAGCCATACCAATGGACTACTAGGAGAGTATGTATTTAATAGTAATACGGATTGAATTCAAGGCCTTTGCACTGACCTACAGCCTCGGCCCTTTTTCCTTTGAGACAGGGTCTTACCAAGTTGTCCAGGTAAGACTTGAACTTGTGATCCTCCTGCCACAGCCACCCAAAGTGTTGGGATTTCATGTGTGCACCACATATACCCAGCTACACCCAGGTATTTAAAAATATAGATGGTAATAATGACCTCTTACTGAGCACTTCCCTTTTTTTTGTTTGTTTTTTGAGACAAGGTCTTGCTATAAAATTCAGGCTGGCACTAAACTTCGTCATCCTCTTGCTTCAGCCCTCCAAGTGCTGGCATTTCAGGTATGTACAATTATGCCTAGCTGCTTATGGGCACTTCTATGTCCCACTCTCATTTTAACTTTTTGGGGGTTCTGGGGATTGAACCCAGGGCCTCACATATGCTAAGCATATGCTGTACCACTGAGTACGCCACAAGCCTCCTCTTTGAACTCTCACAGAAATTACATAAAACCAATACTATTAGTTTCATTTTACAAAAAAAGCAAAAAAGCAAAAAATGTTTAGAAATGTTAAAAAAAAGTCATGTCTTAGGCCACGGATTTAACGCAGTGGTGCCGCTGTCTGCCTTGCAAGCACAAGGTCCCGAGTTTGATCCCCAGTACTAGAAAAAGGGAGCGTGGAAAAAAAGTCATGTCAGCATCTAGTCAGAGAGTTTGATATTGTCATGCAATTTGAATACTGATAACAAAGTGATATCAAAGTGAAAGTTACAAAGTGTGTGCCCAATATGCTATGATTTTTACTAGGAAAAAAAAAAAAGCACTAATTTTTTCATATTAAACTTTAAGCCTTGTTAAATAATGCATTTCCAGACAATTAAAATGTTGTAATACATTGAGATTCACCAAGGAAATAACTGAGTTTGGAGAACTATCAATAATTATTTTCTATTAGTTTATAGATTAGATTGTAGAACAGAAAAATTTTCTGCCCAGTTGTACTGCAAAATTTTAACACTGTTTTTTTGAGACAGGGTCTCACTCACTATGTAGTTGAGACTGACCTGGAACTATGTAGCCCAGGTTGGTCTTGAACTCACAGCGATCCTCCTGCCTCAGCCTCCCGAGTGCTGGGATTACAGGCGTGCACCACCACGCCCAGCTTAACACTGGTTTTTGTGAATTGGTGCATAAGTGTACTAAAGTAGAGAGAAGTCAGAAAGAAGAAAAAAAGGAAAGTGAACATGTTTACATGGTCAGCAGAAAAGGAGTCAGAAGACAGGTAAGAAAATGACATCAGTGACAGGAATAACTGAGGAAGGCAGATGGAATTAGCCTAGTTTGAAAGGAACTGCTCTTCTGTGACTGGATACTGTGTATGTCTGGAGTCATCAGGCTAAGGCAGTAGCTTAAAATGCCATGGTCCAGGGCTGGGGATTCAGCTCAGTGGTTCCACCACCTTTCACGTAAGTGCAAGGACCTGAGTTCAGTCCTCGGTACCAAAACAAAACAAAACAAAACAAAACCAAAAAACCCCACCATGGTCCAGCTGCTGAAATACACTGGGTAGGTGTGGGGTAAGGGTCATGAAAGCAAAGTTTGGCAGATAGCAAGCAATTAACAAATGTTTGTCTTTCTTGTGTGCTACTATATATCCATATTAGATTATTAGATTAAATGTTTAAATAGAGTATGAGGCTGGATTTACCTTGTTACATCCTGTGATCATGTACAGATTTGCTTACAGGGAGCTAAACAAATATTTCTAATAGGTTTTGGTAATCACACAGGGCTTTCTACTCTCAAGGTAAATTTGATGGCAGATAGCACTACTGAAAGCACTTTTTTCTAGGCGCTGGGGACTAGTATACACTGAACAGCACTTTTTTGTTGTTGTTGTTTTTTGAGACAGGGTCTCACTACATAGTTGAGACTGACCTGGAACTCACTATCCCCAGGCTGGTCTCAAACTCACAGTGATCCTCCTGCCTCAGCCTCCTAGTGCTAGGATTACAGGCGTGCGCCACCACGCCCAGCTTGAACAGCACTTTTGATAAACCACTTCAACAATATCTTGCTTGTTTACCGTTTCATAAGTGGGACATCTAGAGGCAAATTTAAAGTTACATAAAGATGTAGAAGACTAAGGAAAGACTGTTTTCTCTCTAACTCCTTTTATGCTTCTTACCTCATCTAATGGTTTATCTTCCAAAGCTGTCAAATCTAGTAGTGGGTTTTTCACTCCTAATGAAACCATTGTTTTTAACCCTAGAAAATCAATGAAATACAAAGTTCATCAAAGTTTATCTTTCTCAGACATTTAAAAGAAGTTCATTAACAGCTCTAATGACTAGAGACTAGAACAGAATATTAGAATGTATCTGGGATTGTTACCTTTTTCATCTATTTTGGCACATTCTGCAAAGAGATCCTTTGACCCTGTATTCAGCCGGTCTCTATGAAAATAATGGGACTGGAAAAAACGTGTCCAGAATTCCTTTTCTGTCATGCTGTGAGGAACATTTTCTGCATATTTCATTTTTACTGTGGGGAGGGGAAAGGTAAGAAATAGTTATAGACTGAATTTCCATTTCTTTCTTCTTTCGAGACAGGGTCGCACTATGCAATTCAGGCTAGCCTTGAACTCACTATGTAGCTCAGGCAGGTCTTGAACTTATGGCAATCCTCCTGATTCAGCCTCCCAAGTGCTGGGATTACAAGTGTGTGTCACCACGGCTAGCACAAATTTCCATTTTTTTTAAACCTCTCAAAGATAAATGAAATATATGCTAAAAGCAAAAACCAGATTATGAAGTGCTCATTTATGCACCCAAATAATAAAATTCTTTTTAAAAAAAAGTTCTTAAGTTTTAGTAGAAATTTGATGTCAGACCTGAGTTTTCTTATTTCTTCATTTATATAAAGCAGCTCTCAATCCACAGCAGTTAGATGGTTAGAGCAATAAAGATCTTAATACCCACTGGACTATCAGTTAACTCTCTACAAGTTTATAATTTAGTGAGCAGCGTTTAAGAGCATGGTTTTTTTTTTGAGACAGGTCTCACTATGTAGTTGAGACTGACCTGGAACTCACTATGTAGCACAGGCTGGTCTCCAACTCAGTTATCCTCCTGCCTCAGCCTCCCGAGTGCTGAAATTACAGGTGTGTGCCACCGTGTCCGGCAAGAGCCTGCTTTCTTGAGCCAGAATCTGACTTTAGAATTCTAGATCTGCCAAGCATGGTGGTATATGGGTATAATTCCAGCACTTGGGAGGCTGAGGCAGGGGGATCTCTGAGTTTGAGGCTAGCATGGGCTACACAGTAAGTTCAAGACCAGCCTAAACTGCATAGCAAGACCCTGTCTCAACAAAACAAAATAAAACAACAACAACACTAGGACTGCCACTTACTATCTGTATGGTCTTGAGCAAACATTACTTAATCTCTCTGTACCTTGATGTTCTCATCTGTAAAAAGAGGGTCTTAACATCACCTATATTTCTAGGGTATTTGTGATGATTAATGAATACAGAAGAATTTTTAGAATAGTGCCTGACATATCACCGTTATTACCATTATTTTTTGGTAGCAGGAATTGAACTCGGGACTCTGCATTTGCGAGGCAGGTGTGGGGCCACTGAGCTAAATCTCCAGCCCAACACTGTGTTATTATTATCATGAGAGATAACGTGATCACACTTTGAGGCAGACATTAGAGAGAGGACTTTATTTGCCTGAAGTCAGGACCTTACAGAGATGGCAAACAAGCGATGCCTCAGCTGAGTCTGAGGGAGAAGTGGTTCCTAAGGACTGAAGGAGAGCCGGGTGGGGAAATGGGACGGAAACACCATGTCCTTTAAGAGGACACCCTTTAGTCAGAAGAGCGACTGAAGCAGCAGCTCTCATCCTTGACCACACTTCAAAAATCACCAAAGCTATGATCAGGCATCTATACTGTTAGGATGGTTTATGCACAGTAAATGAATGATCTGTGGGTTAGAAAGGTCACTCTGGATATAGTATAAGGGATGATCACAAGGTAGTGGTGTGGAGAAACTCATTTACTGATGCCTCTGTAACCAATCATCTCACAAAGGTATGCTGAGGGCTAAATAAAGTTTAAGTATCACTGATGGAAAGAATGGCAGTCATCAGAGCAATGAATTAATGATGGCAAGTTTTTCACTGAGCCCTTAGTATCTACCATATGTTGGACATTGGATATTTTATTTTATGTATTTTACTCCACTTGATTAGGAATAAAAGCAGCTTTTCGTTTTTCAACGATACAGTACAGAATTCAAACAAATATTCTAACCATCTGAAAAACTGACCGTTCTTACCTGCTGGATAGGTCCTAAATATGGACTCAATGATATCAGAAGTTAAGTTATATCTTAAACCATTACAGCCATCTGTTTGGGGCCGGACATCAGCCTAAAACAAAGACCACACACATGCATGTATTTATATTTATACTAGCCAGAGCAGCAGGGAGTATGTCTACACTCCCAACAGACACTGCACCAGTGTGGAAAACAGACTTCCTAAATGAATGTACTTTCACTTCTGGCACAGACAGAGAGCTCAAAGAAGCTTAGATTCATTTCTCATTCTTAGTGACTTGTAAAGTCTGCTGTTTGAAAGTTGAATACAGTTAATCAGGGAAGCTGAGGAGTGGTCAAGGCAAAGAGCTAGTGGAGCTTTAACATAAAATCTGCATAGTTGCCAAAGCCACTATAATCCTTGGTTACTTGTTACTTGGTTAACCTTAACCAACTGGTTTCCTTAGGAAAGGATTTATAAATTAGGTTCACTTATATGAAGCACCTGGTAAAATACCTAGTATACACTTGGTGTTCAAAGTTTTTTTTTTTTGGTACCGGGGATCGAACTCAGGACCTTGTGCTTAGGAGGCAGGTGGTGGAATCACTGAGCTAAATCCCTGGCCCGGTACTCGAAGTGTTGCTGAATGTCCTAGTTCTGCTAAAGCACAGAATTCCATAGGTAAGAAGGTAGATCCAATTTTTCTATTAGAAACATTTTCTTTTTCTTAAATATATATATATATTTTTGGTACTGGGGATTGAATTCGGGTCCTTGTGCTTGTGATGCAGGCAGTGAAACCACTGAGCTAAATCCCCAGCCCAAGAAACATTTTCTTTTAATATGATGCTCATTAAACATTTAATTTTGAATTAGAGATAAAATATATCAGCTGCTGCCTGCCTCACAAGCACAAGGATACGAGTTCAATCCCCAGTACAAAAAAAAAAAAAAGAAATAAAATACAGCGATAATCTTAAAAAGGTACCAGAAAGTTCTGAGTTTGTAAGTATCACCTATAAGTATTAGTTTAATTTTTTTTTTTTTGAGATAGGGTATCATTATGTAAGTGCAAGCTGTCTCGAATTCACAATGATCTTCTTGCCTCAGCCTCTCAAGTCCTGGCATTACAGGCATGCAACACCATGCCTGGCTATTAGTTTAATTTCTAAGAGTTACTTTCAAAGTCCATTTGAATTTTAGTATGCTAGGGTCAAGTCCAACCCCCCCCCTAAAAAAAACGTAACTGATGAAAAGAAATAAATGTACATTTAAAAAATACTATTTGGATTTTAAAAATGTTTTAGAAAAATAGCATTGATAAATTTTCTAATTAACTTTATGGAACTGCTACTTTCTTTTTTTGGTATCAGGAATTGTACTCAGGACCTTGTGCTTATGAGGCAGGTGGCAGCTAAATCCCCAGCCCATGGAACTGCTACATTTGTAAAAGAAATGGCACTGTTACCATACATATTGGGATTTTCATTTTTTTTTTTCCTTCAGAACTCTACAAGGTCACATACCAGAAATGCTGCAGAAATGCCAACATCCTGCTTGTGATTGGATGTGGAAGAACTACCCGCTGCATTCACAGTTAAACGATTGGCCCAGAACTCCTCAGCACTTATCACCTGACTCACAACAAGGTCTTTATAAAGCTGGAACAGAACAGGATCTTCTTGTAGCATTCTGGAGACAGAATATATTAAACATGATTGAACTTATAGAACAAAACACCACTAAGGCAACATTTTAAGAGCTTAGTTTAAAAAAAATAAGCTTAGTGACACAAAACATTGAAACAACTTTTATTTTCTGATGACTGAGCAACAGAAGATATATAGTTCATTTTTTAGTAATCAAGAGCAAAGCAACACTTTTGAAGGAAAAAAGTAGAGATAAATAGAGATAAGTCTGAACGAGCAGAGACTAAGCTCTTTGGGGGTCACGGATTTGGCCTTGTTGTTGTATTTCCATGATACAAAGATCACCCTTTCTGTATCTGTACAGTACTGAATTCTCTTTCACACATAAAGGTGAATGGGAAAGAGAGAAGGCATCCTTGAGATCTTCTAGCAACTTATGTGTCGCTATAGTAAGCACTGGTGGCCTGACAGATGTTAGTGATGTAATAATTCATCTTAGCAAAAATCCTTACAGTTTGACATGATCTCTCACTTTTTCCACAGTACACATTCAGGTTTTTTTGTTTACAAACATACGGCTACAGTTTAGAATCTTTTTTTTTTTTTTTTTTTTTTTTAGTAGTGGGGATCGAGCTCAGAAACGTGCTTGTGAGAGGCAGGTGCGGTGCCACTGAGCTACATCCTGGCCTCTAGTTTAGTATCTTTATTTTCTCTGTGACAGAGAACTAGGAAAAGAAATTAAGGAAGCTTAGCACTTCTGAATCTCTGTTCTGCTTTTAATCACATAGGAAGTTTGATAGTTAATTTAACTTCTAGGTTTGAGTATTCTCATTTCCTCAAAGTTAAATGGCTAATAGAATGCTCAAGTTGGGAATCAAACACAGAGGCAAAGATCCCAAAGCACATGTTTTCCCATATTACATATATCACAGCAGAAGGAGGGAGCAGTAACTAGCTACCGCCCTACTAGGACATTACAGAGAATCTACTATCTCTTTAAAAGGCTCATCCATTCCTCCTTCACCTGTTTTTCTCTTCCAGTTCCTTATTTGCTTTCCTCTTGAATTTGGGCAGTAGCTGCTGGAGAAGGTCCTTTACTGCATCTCGCTCTTTCACTGCTGTGCTTTCATTAGAAAAATGGAAGTTTGTTGTGTCCCCTGCATGAAGAACCAGCTGAAGCTGAATTTTAGCTTTTCCCTCTGGACTGATTTTCTGGCCTAAAAAGAAGCATGAAGCTAATGAGGACACTCACAATGCGGAGTAGGTTAAGCAGTAGGTTATTTCTCCCAAGACACAGCATTCTTCAGGGGTTTTGTCTGCTCCATTCCAATCTTAATGCTTTTGCACAAATGCAGTCTTTTCAAATAGCCCCTCCTCATGACCAGAGTAAGACTCAACAAACTCACTGCTAACACTGCTTCCTTCCTCCATACACTTTAGATGTCGTGCTTCTCATTTGATACTTCGATCTATTACCAATAGGCTTTTGTTTCCATTTAACCAGGACAGACTCCTTTAAAGTCTTCTAACCAGCCAACCAGGAGTCCTGGATCCACCGTAAACACTGGCCTTCAAGCAACATTATCACTAATAATAATAATTTGTCATAATTAAAGACTGTTGACACACGATTATTTACTAGTTAAAAAGGAAAACACATAATTTTACATTTGGGAGAACTGTTACTTTAATCAAGTGACCAATCTTAGCCTCATCAAAAGGAAGAGATGAAACTATGTGCTTTCTGAGATGACAGAACAGGAAGTAAATATCAACCATGATATATTATTGTTGCCCAAAATGTCTAACTTCAATATGATCAAGCTTTCAAACCTTTCAGTTTATAAGAAACAGGGAGGGCTGGGGATGTCGCTCAGTCACTGGCAGAATGGCTGCCCAGCATGTGCACCCTTGGGTGCAATCTAACTCCCTAGCACCACACAGACACAGACATGTATACAGGAATAAATGTTTCATGATGTGTGATGCTGTGATATACACTGTAAGTTTATCTTATATTCTGTAAGAGACCAGAGACTATACCTATGTGTAGACCAGATTCTTATTTATTTTGATTTTTGTTTGTTTGTTTGTTTGTTTTGAGACAGGGTCTTACTATGTAGTTGAAACTTCTCTGGAACTCACTATGAAGGCCAGGCTGGTCTCGAACTCACAGCAATCCTCCTGCCTCAGCCTCCCAGGCATACAGGCATGCGCCACCATGCCCGGCTGGATTCTCATTTAAAACAACCCAGTTAGCCAGACATGTTGGAGGATGCCTGTAATCCTAGCACTCAGAAGGCTGAGGCAGGAGGACTGCTGCATGTTTGAGACCAGTATGGGCTACATAGTGAGTGCAAGACCAGCCTGAACTACACAGCAATACTATCTCAAAAACAAAAACAAACCAACAAAACAAAAATACAACACAGCTATAAAAGACTCTACTGGGATAACTGAGGAAATGTAATAATGGTCTAGATATTTGCTATTAAAATGTTCTTGAGCCAGACATGGTGATACATGCCTGTATTCCCAGCATTCCAGAGGCTGGGGAAGGATTGTTTTATTTTCCCCTTCCTGGTACTGGGAATCAACTCAGGACCTTGCGCTTGCAAGGCAGGCATGGTGCCACTGGGCTAAATGCCCTGCCCACAAAGATTGTTGAGTTCCAGGAAAGCTTGGACTTTATAGCAAGACTGTCTCAAAAACAAAACAAAACCCAACAAAGTTCTTGTGATAATACTCTCATCAAGCAATACCAATGCACACAAATAATAAAGCAAATGTGGCAAAATATCAACTGCAATATCTAGGTAGAATATTTTACATAGGTTTTCCTTGTACCCATTCTCTTTTTTTTTTTGGTACCAGGTTGTGCTTGTGAGGCAGGTGTAGTGCCACCGAGTTAAATCCCTGGCCCCCTTGTACCATTCTTTAAAATCTTTTTGTCATTTTGAAGATTTTCAAAAAAATCCCAGGGCTAGGGCTCGGGATTTAGCTCAGTGGTTCTGGCGTCTGCCTTGCAAGTGCAAGGACCCAAGTTCAATCCCCGGTACCAAAAAACAAATATAAATAAATAAAAAATCCTAGGGCTAGGGCTGGGGATTTAGCTCAGTGGTACCACTGCCTCCCTCAGAAGCACAAGGTCCTGAGTTCGATCCTTGGTACCAAAAAAAACCAAAACAAAATAAAAAAACAACAAAAAACCCAGGGTCAACAGCGCTAATCTACACCTATACAACAGGAAAACCTGTGTTCTAAAAAAGCAGCCCTCCTAGTAACTGTAGTACTTCTATTCTTCCTACAGAAAACAGAGATGGAGGGCTTTGTCCCATTGAATGGGGTGATTCATGGTGGTGCGATACAACGCATACAGTTCTTAGCATAAACAGACCTCTAAAGCACAAACAGAAACTCTGACCACAAATACAATGCTAAAGCACATTGTCGATGAAATACCTTACCGTTAAGAGCAGCTATATGAAGTAATTTACTGTTAGCCCACACATTCTGTTATCCTATCCCTCCAAAATAATCACTCCTGTCCACCTTTCCTTAGTCACTGCTCCCCTTCTTCCTCTTTCTTAGCTCCTGCCTCTGGGAGACTTCTGTTTAAGTTTTTTAATGAGCTAATTTCAGCCAGAACAACTACTGCTAATCTTCACTTGAGTAATGTACTAATAACTTTCAGAAGTGGACATTCTTTCAAATTTTCAATTTAAAATAAAGCTGTTCAGTCAGGAGGATCAGGTGAGTTCGAGGCCAGCCTGGGCTTCATAGTGAGTTATTGGACAGCTTGAATTACCTAGTGAGACCCTGTCTCAAAAAAGAAAAACAAAAAACTGTTCTGGTTACAGATCTAGATTTGGGTAAGCACCTTTGTCCCATAGCTGGTTAACTACAGAGAAGCAGATTGTTGTACACCATGGGTAACACCACGCTCAGCTTCACTTATATGCATTTAAATGCACAAGGGTGGGGAACATGCAAAAAGCATTAGGAAGTGTTATATACATACACCAACTCCTCATTTTATTTACCAACTCCCCATTTTGCACGTAATCATTATGTATTGCAAACATGTACTAGTAAAACTAAAAATGAAAAGTAATACACAAACCATCTGAAAAACAGTAAGTATATTAACACACTGCAGAGATGTATCCTCTCCAGACAACCTCTCAAAGACAGTGGCGCATAGCTCTGTAATGCAAAATATTTGTAATAACAAAATTCTACAAGGCTGGGAGTGGTGACACACGCCTGTAATCCCAGCACTCGGGAGGCTGAGGCAGAAGGATCGCTGTGAGTTCGAGACCAGCCTGGGCTACATAGTGAGTTCCAGGTCAGTCTCACTACATAGTGAGACCTTGTCTCAAAAAACAAACAAACAAAAAATCTATAAACTTCCTAACTGTTCTTCAGAAGGATGGCTAAACATGGCTGTATATCCATTCAGTGGAATATTACATGAGTCTTTCTCATTTTGAGACAGGGTCTCCTTATGTAGCCCAGGCTGGCTTCATCCTGCCTCAGTCTCCCAAGTGCTGAGATCACAGGCACGTGCCACCATGCCTGCCTTACTATGCCAATTCTATTTTTTGGTACCTGAGATTGAACTGAGGACCTTGTGTTTGCAAGGCAGATGATCTGCCACTGAGCTAAATTCCCAGCTCACTGTGCAATTCTTTTTTTGGTACCAGGGATCAAACTCAGGACCTTGTGCTTATGAGGCAGGTGGCAGAATCACTGAGCTCAATCCCCAGCCTAACTATGCCATTCTTGAAAGTATGCATGAAGAGCTTTATGCAAGATCTATTTACATATTTATACACATCAGGACATGCTGCATTAATAAGCAAAGAGATTAGGTAACAGAATAGTATATATTCAGTGATATCACTGCAGTTATTTACACAAGGTTAGTTTTTTAATGATGTAAATACAAAATTCAAATTTTATAAAATTACCAGCAAACACATTTACTTCATACCTTAGTATAACTGACTTACATTTAATATCTGCATACATATGGCTGATTGTAAATCTGTCTTTGCCTTCAGGCGCCCAAGCAATTCTTTCTGCCATGAGGTACAGAGCTCCATCCTGTTTCTTTTGACGCACCTTCTTTACGACCAGCAAAACTTCTTCAGATGAGGTTGCCATGATGGCTGTAAGGTGCTAAAAGAGAAAGAAACAAAGCCCTGTTTTATACATCAGTTAAGAGTTGCAGCCAGGGATTTAGCTCAGTGGTTCCACCACTTGCCTCGCAAGCACAAGGACCTCAGTTCAATCCCCGGTACCAAAAAAAAAAATTGAGCAGGGCACTGTGGCACATGCCTGTAATCCCAGCACTCTGGAGGCTGAGGCATGAGGATTACTGGGAGTTTAAGACCAGCCTGGGCTACATAATGAGTTCCAGGGCAGTCTCAACTACATAGTGAGACCCTGTCTCAACCACCCCCCAAAAAAGAGTTGCATTTGTTGACTTCTAGTCCCTCCCAAATCTAAAATGCAACACAGAACAGGAAGAAAAAAAAATCTCTCTTCTTTTTTTTGGGGGGGGTGGTGTTAGTTGAGACAGACCTGGAACTTACCATGTAGCCCAGGCTGGTCTTGAACTCACAGCAATCCTCCTGCCTCAGCCTCCCAAGTGCTGGTAAAACTCTTTTCATTCAAAGTTAGTTTTGCTCATACTACAGGTTTGATTTTACCTCACAATTTCATAACATTTCAGTTTTTCAAGCCATTTCCACATACACTAAAGACTACTTCTAGTTTATTCTTGTTTTCCTCAGTTCAACTCTTATATCATAAATACAAGATCTGATTAAACATACATCTTGTATGTTTATTCAGAATCACTAAGATCCTAATAGTCAAATTTGTTGCAATCAAAACAAATTTATGTCAAAGAATATGTGTGAACTTCTCAGAACCATCCCTACAGCAGAAACTATACTCAGGTCTTCTGATTCCTGGTCTAACCTTCTTCTAGGTATATCCAAAATAAAACTAATATTAATACTTAAAACTCCAGATGCTAGTTTTCCGTTTTTAATAATAACACATCTTCAACTATCTTGACCAAGAATTCACTTGAATATGGCTAATGAGCTACCTAGGAAAAAATGCCTGGACACCTGCCTCTCACCCACTTTCTGGGAATTTTAAATGCTCAATTCAATTTCTTGAGGTTTGAGTGTGTGGCTGTCTGGAGTAAGAGGTTGAAAAACAGACTTTGAGGCTTTTGGGGGTCAACTAGAAAGACGCTTGAACTGAGAGTTACATTTGTCATACGCCAGGATAAGGAAAGCTGTGGCACAAATGCCTCATATAAGCCATTTCTTTTCTTTTTTCTTTTTCTTTCATATTGGGGATTGAACTCGGGTCCTTGTGCTTGTGAGGTATAAGGCATTTCTGATAAAGTTATGACATTAATTTTCATTTCCAAAGGAATGGCTCAACTTTTCAAATTTACTTTTTAAGACAGTTTAAAGCATGATTTAGAGCCGGGCGTGGTGGCACACGCTTGTAATCCCAGCACTTGGGAGGCTGAGGCAGGAGGATCGCTGTGAGTTCAAGACCACACCAGCCTGGGCTACATAGTGAGTTCCAGAGCAGTCTCAACTACATGAGATCCTGTCTCCAAAAAAAAAAAAAAAAAAAAAAAAAATACGATTTAGAGAAGTTAGCATACCTAGAGATCAAACATTGGGTGAGGTAAGTGGCTCTGTGAAGACCACCTGCCTAGCATGTATGAAGCCCTGCTCTCCAGCAATGGGAGATGGATGGGGCACAGTGTGAAACTGCGATTTCTCTGAAGCTGAGCATGTGAGGTGTGAAGAGTCAGCTTTCCCCTTTTATAGGCCCTTCATTTTTTGTGCAGTGCTGGGGATAAAACCTATAGCCTTATGCATGCCAAGCAAATACTATACCACTGAGCCATATTACCACCCTGAGATCCTTCCAACCCTGCACTGGGGACAGAACACAAAGATGTAGTACCAAATGAGCTACATGTTCAGCTTTTTTTTTTTTTTTAACCAGGGATGGAACTTGGGATCTTGTGCTTGCGAGGCAGGCGGCGGAACCACTGAGCTAAATCCCAGGCCCTCTTTCTGTATTATTTGAAAATTTTTTTGATACGGGGTTTTGCTAAATTTCTCAGGCTGAACTTTAACTTGGGAACTTTCTACACCAGCCTCCACAGTGCTGGGATTACAGGTGTGTATCACCATGTCTGGCTCAAGGTCCCCCCCACTTTTTTTATTTGAGACAGGGTCTCACTATGTAGTTGAGACTGACCTGGAACTCACTATGCAGCCCAGGCTGGTCTCCAACTCACAGGGATCCTCCTGCCTCAGCCTCCGGGAGTGCTGGGATTACAGGCGTGCACCACCACACCCGGCTTCAAGGTCCTTTTTTATATTAGGTTTTACCATGTTGCTCAAACTGGAGTCAAGTGATCCTTCCATCTCTGCCTCCCAAGTACTGAGACAACAGGTGTGTGCCACAATGCCTGTTTTGTTTGTTTGTTTGTTTTGAGACAGGGTCTCACTATGTAGAGTAGGTCAGTCTCAACTACATAGTGAGACCCTGTTTCAAAAAAAAGAAAAACAAAAGAAAAGAAAAGAAAAGAAAAGAAAAACAGAAAGAGAAAGAAAAAGAAAGAGAAAGAGAAAGAGGAGAAAAAAAGAGAAAGAAAAAAAGTGCTATATTGTTCGCACCCCCAAAATTAAGTACAATTATCAAATCAACAAATTGCAGTTTAGACATTATTTGATGCCTTTTGACAATTGTGTACACCCACATACCATAAAGTTTCTCATGTTTCTTTTTAGCCAATTCTCCCCACTTCCAGCAACTATTTTTTGATTTCTGTAGTTTTTGTTCTAGGAGTCATATAGTATGTATGCTTTCATCTTTGATCCATCATCACTTAATATGTTTTGAAACTCACCATATTGTTGCATTAGCAGTAATACATTTTTTAAATATATGCTATAAATAGGATCTTGAAAAAAAGACTGATAGATCAAGTAAAGGGAAACAGCATTACAGGCAAAGGGAGTATTCTAGGGGAAAGGCTTGAAATTCTAGGAATGGTTTGTCTACTCTGGATGTAGCAGAAGGTTCACATTGGAGATGAGCGGGTTATGACACTGGAGAGTTACGATAAAGGGGTAGAGTACAGAATGCTACTCTGTGTGGCAAGCAACAGAAAATCTCTCAAGACTTCTGAAAATGGAGATGAAAGGACCAAGACCACAGATGAAGCAGATGAACAGATACTGTAAGTGCTGAAGGAGGTATCATGATTGCTTGTTCATAACCTAATCCTAATTCTTACTGACATGAATATACGATTCCATTTACAGAAATAAGTAAAGGAAAAGCCAGTCTGAAAGTTAAGACAGGGAATTCAGCTGTGGACAAACCATGAACATCAGGCACTGTTAAGTCATGTGGCTAGAAATAGTCTGCATGACATGGGCATTTGTATATTTTTGGGAGGAAGCATTGATGACTGCTTTCTTAAACTCAATAACAAAAAGGGCTTAAACAATTTCACAATCCTGGAACCCTAATATCAATTCTCTTTAAATTGTATGCTTGTTATCTGTACTCACTCTAGAGATTTTGTATGATGTAAACCCAAGTTAATAATTTTGTGTTTTAGACTTGCCATTGAAAATATTCCCACTGCGGGCCGGGGATTTAGCTCAGTGGTTTTGCTGCCTGCCTCCTAAGCACAAGGTCCAGAGTTCAATCCCTGG